AAAAAAAAAAAAAAAAAAAAAAAGATGTCAAAACCTTTCCTAGCAAGCAGACTCAGATAAAAACAAAACAAAACAAACAGAAGAAGATGTAAAAACCCAAATATTAGGTTTGTTTTTCTTTTTATTTTATTAATTAAGTTTTTTTAGAGATGGGGGTCTCACTTTGTTACCTAGGCTGGGCTTGAGCTCCTGGGCTGAAATAATCCTCTTACTTCAGCCTCCTTAGTAGCTAAGACAACAGGTGTGTGCCACTGTGTCTGGCCTGTTTGTTTTTTTTATAAGGGAGTAAACACTTCTTTTTACTTGGATATGCTTTATCCAAGTAAGTTGGATTTCCTTTATCAAGTTAGAAATCCAGCTCCTTGATAAAACCAGAGATACCATTAGGATAAAAAGCAGAAGCAGTGCAAACCAACAGAATTCAGTTGGCCAGCTCCTAACATCATACGTTTTATCTAAAACACAAGTTTTCTCTCACGCAAAATGAGGGCAGTTTAGTCATTTCTACTCCATTTTTCCTGAGTTTCATGTTATTTCTGTCATATTTTTGTAATCTTTCTGCTTTAGGCTATTCAAACTACTCAACTTCAACAATTGCTGTCAAACACTAAATCCCATGAGGATTTGTACCTATTCTAAATAAGCAATTGGTACAAGTCACCAAATAAAAATGTCAGACAACCCAAACTGCAGAACCAGGCTGATAGCCAACTCCATGGGACAAAGGACAGCTGCAGAGATGTGACACAAAAAAGTTTCAGGCTGTTTCAACTAAAGAATGAAAAGAAAATAAAACACAATTGAGATATAGAAGAACATCTAGTGGTTCAACCAAGTGCCAGTAGGCATCTACTTCAAATCACTGAATAAAACAAGAAATCCCCAAAGCCAAATGGAAGCATCACAATAAATAATATGAATAGACAAGGATATAAATTGGGGCCTGTGCAAAGAAAATTCTTGTAGTTTTCATTGACTCTTCCCTAGCCACTCCCCAACCTCTTCTACTCTCCGTCTTTGCCTTTTCTATAAATAGTAACTCCATTCTTCATCAATCTGTTAGGAAATCTTGTTGACTCTGCCTTTAAATATATAGAGATTTAGAATACTTCCCACCACCTCTACTACTAACAAGATACAATTTTCTCTTGCTTGAACTATTGCAATGACCTCCTAACTGGACCCCCCAATTTCCAACCTTGCCCCAAATACAATCTCTTCTCAAAAGCAAGTAGACGGATTCTTTCAAATGAGAAGGCCAATGATGTCACCTCTTTATACAAAACCCGCTAAAGATTTTCAGTTTCACTCAGGGTAAAAGCCAAAGCCTTTACAATGGCCTGCAAGGCCTGATAAGATCTGGTTTCCCATTTCCTCTCTGGCTTCAGGTCCCATTACTCACTGTGTTACAGCCACACAGGACTATGTACACTTCTTCAAATTTGTGCCCCAGGACCTTTGCTCTTGCTGTTCCCTAGTTACTTGCCAGGCTCACTCATCCTGTTAAGAAGCCTGTTAAAATGTTACCTCACTGAAGCCTTCCCTGATTCTCACCCTCCTCAGTAACTGCTTCATTTTTCTCAATAGCACTTACCACCCTCTAACCTTCCAACATACAGTCTGCTCATTTACTTTCTTTATAATCTATCTGCCCCCAGCAAAATATAAACTCCACGAGTCTTTTTACTTCCTATCATATCCCACCACCCAGGAGAGCAGATGCTCATTAAATGTGTGTTGTGTGAACTCACCAGTGTCCCCTGGGTCAGTGCTCTGAAGAAATGTACGGCAGCGCTCCTTGTGCTCCTCAAGGGAACTTCTCTGCTTGTAACTCCTTCCACAAAACTCACATTTGTAGGGTTTCTCCACTAGAAGGAGAACATAAGGGGCACTCAGTGACCCTCAGGTGTTCCATACAGGTCAGGTATTGGGGCTCTGTGACAACTGTTCATTAGAAATGAGACTGCTGAGTGAAGCCAGAGTATTTAAATACTTTTGAATCTGTATTTTCAATTTGGTAAGCTTAAATAAGGTCATGGTTTATGATTAATTATTATGTCAGAGTATTCTTCAAAAGGATTGCCTCCTATCACAAATGAAAGAATTTGGATTTAGTGATTACCACTTAGCATAGTGTTTTAGATCCAGGTCAAATCTTATTTCTTTAGGAAAAAGAAAATAGGGCCCTTTTATTCTTTAACGAGGTTAATGTAGTATAAGCAATGAAATAGGAAAGGATTCCTTATTTTGGACATCCATCTGGCTGTAAGTAAAGATTGCTATAGTTTGTGGGAGTTAGCCATTCAGCTAGAAACTGATGGCCTTTTCAGAACATTGACATATTTGAATAAATTTAGCTCGTCCTTGCCAAGTGGCTATAGCAAAGTCTAGGCTATGATAAAAACTGAGCTAATTAATTAAGGAATTTTTTGTTTTTGAGATGGGGTCTCACTCCATCACCCATGCTGGAGTGCAGTGGCACAATCACAGCTTGCTGTAGCCCCAACTTCACAGGCTCAGGTGATTCTCCCACCTTGGACTCCCAAAGTGAGAGGATTACAGGTGTGAGCCATTGCACCTGGCCGGGATATTTTTGAATAATAGAAATAAAAATACTCTGGGTGCAGTGGCTCACACTTGTAATCCCAGCACTTTGGGAAGCCAAGTAGGGCAGATCACCCGAGGTCAGGAGTTCGAGACCAGCCTGCCCAACATGGCGCAACCCTGTCTCTACTGAAAATACAAAAATTAGCTGGGAGTTGTGGTGGGCATCTATAATCCCAGCTACTAGGAAGGCTGAGGCAGGAGAATCACTTGAACCTAGGAGGCAGAGGTTGCAGTGAGCCGAGATCGCGCCACTGGACTCCAGCCTGGGTGACAGAGCAAGACTGTCTCAAAAATAAAAAAGAAATAAAAATGAATTGTAAAAATGACTTCATCTAAATGTCTAAAATGAAGGAAAAGTTTCACCCATACAATTCAGGCAACCGTATTCTGCCAACTTCCCAAATGCTTTATTGCTTGAAATATGTAAGTAATAACTTCAACTATCTGTTCAAGTCTGGTCTTTCTGATTGTTGATAAAATATACTCAATGCATTTGTCAGTTTTATGGGCTAAAATTTTTATTTTTGAACTCCTCTTGTTCTGTTTAAAACAGAGGCTTTGGGATTTAAAGCACTAAAAGATCCTTATGGAATCCTAAATTAAAACAAATGCAGGTTTGCTAGGGCTAAAAATGTTAAGTTTCTGCATAAATTGGGTCCTCTAGAATCTGTCTTTAAAATGCCTGCTATTGTTTCTTACTTGAAAAAGGCAACAGTAGAGAACTATTCTAATTTTTTCGAACCAAACTCATCCTTAATTCATTACTTTGAAAAATGAGCTGTAAAAGAGAGAAACCCTTCATTTGCCAATTATGATCTCTCATGGTGGGTTTTGTTGGGGTTGATTTGCTTAATCCTAGTGGCTGAATTATAACAAGTTTCAGGTTTGGGGCTAGGTTTTAGTCAAAGCAGTACACGTGAACTGACATAAAAACAAACTTTTTTTTCCAATTAAAATTTTGCCAGATAACATCAAGAACATGAGGTCCCAAATTTGAAAATAAACTCAGTCTTATTTTTCTAGGAAGGAAATTCTTAATCTTGAAAAAAGAAAGTATTATCTTGGTCAAAATAAAGAGTAAAAACATCAAGACAGCACATAGCTTTTTATGAATCCTTACTGCTGTTCATCTTTTAGAGATTTAAAATAAGTAGGTTGGCTAGGCATGGCAGCTCATGCCTGTAGTCCCAGCACTTTGGGAGGTCAAAGTGGGAGGATTGTGCGAGCTCAGGAGTTTGAGACCAGCCTGAGCAACATAATGAGACCTCATATCTATTTAAAAAAAAAAAAAAAAAAAAAAAGTGGGCTGATCAAGAGGAAAGTTGGATTTAAGAAATTTATCCCTAATGGCCAAAAAGTAGCCCCCAAACAATGATTTATGTATAGATTAGTTTTTCATAATTTACAAAATTGTACATCATTTGCTTGTCTAGTCTTTTGAATGGAAAGAGTGTGTGTGTGTGTGTGTGTGTGTGTGTGTTAGGAAAATAATCTTTTAATAAAGTTTACCAGAAGAAAATACTGATGGCTATAATTTTCTCACAAAAATTAAAAAGACATTTTTATAGGGTGGGCTCTTCCTATCTGACTGTGGTGTTCTCTAGGGATGCATGGATGGTGAGGAGATGATCATCTCCACGGAGGCAGATGGAGAACAATTAATGCCTTAATGGTAGTGTAATTAGCCCTAGAGGTCTCTGCTGTTGTAACCCTTCAGAACAAGAATGACAGATTGAAACCTTCATACTTAACTCTTTCTAGTTTCCACATGGGCTCTGAGGAATGCAGTTACTAGACATGGAATGCTCATTTCTCTCACTTACCAGAATGTGTCCTAAGATGCCCAGTGAGCGCATCTCTTCTTTGGCATGCATAGTTGCAGAGGTGACACTTAAAAGGTTTTTCCCCTGTGTGCAGTTTAATGTGGCGGAGGAGGTTACCTTTCTGAGTAAAAGATGCCCCACACTGATTACATTGGAATGGGCGTTCACCTTTAAAAAGGACAAAAAAGGAGATTTCTGATCACAGGCAAGTGGAGAAGGATATGCACAGATTAGATGCCTAGGGCAAAAGCTCATCTTTTAAACAGTTACTGTTCACATTGGGATCAGTTGGGAGCTGCATTTCAAGGCAAGCATAAGACTTACTTATGAAATCTCCTCTCTAGAAGAGAAAACGCACCTACCTAGCAAGGCTATTTTAGGTATCATATTGAATCAGAGCAAAGAAACAAGAGTAGCTCTAGAAGTGCTTTCTAGATGTAAGTTTTTTCTTTTTTTCCCCCGCCCCAAGATGGAGTCTTGCTCTGTCGCCCAGTCTGGGGTGCAGTGGCACGATCTTGGCTCACTGCAACCTCCGCCTCCCATATTCAAGCGATTCTCCTGCCTTAGCCTCCCAAGTAGCTAGGATTACAGGTATGCACCACCGTGCCCAGCTGATTTTGTATTCTTAGTAGAGATGGGGTTTCACCATGTTGGCCAGGATAGTCTCAAACTCTTGACCTCATGGTCCACCTGCCTCAGTCTCCCAGAGTGCTGGGATTACAGGTCTGAGCCATGGTGCCTGGCCCTAGATGTAAGTTTTAATATTACTTGGTACTCCTTTTTTTTTTTTTTTGAGACAGGGTCTTCTTGCTCAGGCTAGAGTGCAGTGGTGAAGAGGCTCACTGAAGCCTCAACCTCCTGGGTTCAGGTGAGCCTCTCACCACAGCCTCTAGGATAGCTGAGACTACTAGTGTTTGCCATCATGCCTAGTTAATTTTTTAGTATTCCTTTTGAATATAATCTCCTTTGAAAAAAGAGTCACAAACTAAAGTCCTAACAAGGTGCTGACGGCTAGAAAATCTCCTTTTTAAAGTCTTCATATGAGATGTGGGATGGAATCTACTGGCTCAGGTACGATGCTTGCGTTTGTCTGCATTTCTATAGACCGCCTGTTTATTGTCTGAAGATAAATTCTTTTAAACCGGAAATAAAAACTATATCCTTTCATTTACCAAATTGGAACCCAATACGATAAGAAGATCTGCTCTTATTAAAAATGTTATGCAAAAATATGTGAAAGATGGCTAAGAAGCAAATCACACAATTCAACTCCTACTTAGAAACTGAAGAAAAAGTTTTTGGCTGACCTAGAACACTGTGCTCTCTACAGTCTTTTTTTATCATAGCATTTGCAATATGTTTGCCAAATGCATGGCAAGGCAGGAATAAAAAGCACCGAGTTAATGGCAATGCAGAAAGAGATACATCAGCATTACAGAAAAATCAATGAAAGTAACCAAAAGTTCCAAATTCCACCACTTCATTTCCACAGCCTAATAATGGCTGCATTAGGACAGTTTTCGGAAGAATGCAAAAAGCAGACTATTTACCAGTATGGCTTCGCTTATGAACCATTAAGACATTGAAGCTGATGCAGGATAATCCACATACATCGCAGTTCATCTTTCCACTGGTTGGCCTGCTACTATCGAATGAGACAACATGTCTCTCCAACTTAATGTTTTCATATTCATTATATTCTCTTGAATAGCTATAAGGGATTTCAGGCTCTTCTGCATTTCCCGTGGGCTCTGGCTTTAAAACATTCTCATCTCTTTCACTGTATTCATCTTTCACTTTCATTGAATCATCTGCAGGGAAAAAAATGCAAGAAATGAACAATGACTATACTTGAAGCTATCAAAGCAGCTCATATAGCAGAGACCCACAACTGACAAATACCAAATGAAGCTAACAAAACTCTGTACATCTACAAAACAAGAAAGCACCATTAGCATGAGCACACATTATTTAAATTCAGAACCACAGTCAGAGGAAAACACACATACTTACACACATAAAAACAGATGATAGTGTTTTATGCTATCCAGAAAAATACAGATAATAGATTTTAGCTAAGTCTGCTCAAAGTGGCCATGAAACAAACATTGAGCAACTCTTCTCCAGTACTAGGGGAGAGGACGGGTTCTCAGATCTAGTACTTTTTTTGGTGGCTGCAGTTAAAAAGGCAAAGTGATGTAATTTTAAGTTTCAAGGAGAAAATATTGTTTGAATCCTTCAAATGCATCCAGTGTAAGCCATCAAGATTAAGAGTTGAATAGTTAGTGTAGTTTTTCTAATTTTAAGCCATGCTT